CCCTTCAGAATGATCTTGAAAAATAAAATCCAGACGACCATTGACTCCTAAAGAGTTGAATTGAGTTATGAACGATCATAAGATTAACTTTTTCCCATCACTGCTGAGTGCCTGGAGCTAAGCCAGATGTCGGTTGCCCCCGTGAATGAGACAGAACTTTGTGTTTCATTATCAAGAAGTGTGGTCTGGAAGGATGATGGAGTGGTCTCCAGTGACCAGCCTTGTAGAGGAACGCCCCGCCAGGCTCTCCCCAGCTGGCCATGTCTCTCATAAGTCTGGATCTCTGAGCTCTGTTTCCTTCTGTGGTCAGGAAGATGCTGTGCTCTCTGAGAATCTTGGCAAGCTAGTAATATCTGCCAACCCGCTACTACCTCTCCACCCAAGAAATAACCTCACCCTCTCTTTGGAAATAATTCAGCCTAGGCATCTTACTAAATAATTTTAATAAAATTATTTATGTTTGGTAACAAAAACATGCAGTAAGATTAAGCTTCATTCTTAGCACTTTACAGAATCTATGAACCAACCCCCCCAAAAAAGTCTTAAGTGATGATTGTATGCTTCTGGTTTGCTCACCTTCATTTTTTAATGGACGATCAAGCAGATTTTGGTGGGCATCGAGGTATTGGGTCAAGTGCTTACTCTGGGGAAGGTGAGCTGAGCACTTTGTGGCACTTTGGAGGTGTCCTCACCCAAGCTGGTGCTCCTACTGTACACAGAAGGAGGCTGAACTCAGAGAGGTTGAAGGATTGTCTCAGCGTTGCAAAGCGAGAGACTGTGTCAGACCAAAGTCAAAGTACCGATTGGCCGAGTGCAGAATCAGAAGCAGGAGACGCTGCCCCACGTCCCTTCTTCTCCTAGAAAACACCTGACGCTCCAGGTACAGGCAGGCCACCATTCCAGAGCTCCAGAGCACTTGCAGTCTTGGTGATCATACCGATGGATCCGATGGGCAACGGTGGTGTGGTGACGGGAGGGATTCTTAGATGAATCTGGTCGCTTATGAAAAGCTAGTGGTGGCGAAAACCTGTCCTTCAGAGAAGAACGGATAACAGGAATACTACCTTAGTAAGCCTGAGCTCTGGTGTGGCCAGTGTGCTAAAGCCTGCTGGAGCCTTACTTACCGTCTCTGTTGAGAGATGTATTACAAATAAAGCTGATTGTATCTTACCCCTCTTACAGCCTCATGGTCATAGATAAGAATTTTTTGGAAACAAATATTTTTCTTCCTGGATTATGAATAGCCCTAATTGAATCAATACAACAAGTTGTACTTTAAGGTGAAAGAATTCTAATAACATGACTAAGGGCTGGGAGGATACAGTTCACTGATGGACTGCATGAGAAGCTAGTATCTTTGGTAAATAATTACTTCTTCCTTCCCTTCTTTCCTCTATATGTGTATAGATTTTATAGTATGTGACACTTGATAAACTCTTGGATTCTAGAAAACACAGTAGTAATTATCCTGGAGACTACTCAGTAAAACCTATGAAACCTATGAACTATTTATTGAAAAAGAGGAAGAAAGATTGAGAGGAGGGGAGAGAGGGAGAGGGAGGGAAGGAGAGAAGAAACCCGCTCGATGGTCCGCGCTGGACCATCAATCAGAACGCCTCATCCACCACAGTCACCTCCCCCTTTCGCTTGGCAAGATCTCCAATAGCGTTGAAAGACCGTCAACTGTAGCTCTTGTAAAAGATCTAATTTACAAGCGAGGCCTCAGTGGCTCACGCCTGTCATCCTAGCTACTCAGGAGACTGAGATCTGAGAATCCTGGTTCAAAGCCAGGCCAGGCAGGAAAGTCCAAGAGGCTCTTTATCTCCAATAAACCACTCAGAAAACCGGAAGTGGCTGCAGTGGCTCAAGTGGCAGAGCACTGGCTTTGAGCTGAAGACTGAGGGACAGCGCCCAGGCCCAGAGTTCAAGACACATGACCAACAAAAAAAGTCAAATTTATTCGTCTAGTGGATAGTGGTTATGCCACATTTGAAGCACTTACTAAGCACAGTTAGACCACAAAGAAAGACAATATGTTAGGCTTTCCCTGCTTCATGTAGAGCTGTCCTAACTATCAGCTTGGCAGAGTGCTTTCTGTCCCTAAATCCTTCTCAACATGTTCCTAGACCCCATCATGGTTGAAGGAATGTAGAATCTGAGAGACTTTTTAAAGAAAATCTAAGGGCAAAAATAACCAATGGAAGAGTCAAAACAACTGCTTTCTGACTCCAAAGTGGTATCCTTGCCAGACAGTGGTAGTTCAATCAGCAGCCTTAGTCCATGAACAGAAATACAGTGTAAGTCTTCAGGAGTTATCTCATTCAACTCTTGAATTCCCTAGGTAATAAGAGAACCCCATTGAGATTAAATTATCCACAGATCATTTGCTTTATATTTAGAATGAGTCTCTCTTAATAGCTGCCTATGATTTTTATTATGGTTATCGTGATTGTCTGGTGTCAGCCAGGTCTGGTGTCAGCTTGTAACTGCTCTTGCTATTGAAATCACACAAGAGAAAAGCGGGGGGGGGGGGGGGGGGGGGGGGGGGTGCTTCTTGTCACTGTGCACAGAGGCCAAAGTAAGTTCACTCAAAAGTTATTTCTAAGTGTTTGAAGCAGTGGACAGCCCTCCTAAAAACAGAAAGTAAACTTGCTGTGGAAATGACAAGGAACAGACTAGCTGGCTTGTGGCTCAGGCCTGTAATGCATGTGAGGCAGAAATAGGAGGATCGTAGTTCCAAGCCAGTCTGGGGAAACACGTTTGTAAGTTTCTAACCTCAGAGAACAAGCTGGAGGTAGCGGTACTTGCCAGTAATCCCAACTTCATGTGAGAGACTGACCCAGTGAAAAAGTGTGAGAGCCTGCCAAGAAACACAACGAAAGCAAAAGCAGTGGAGAAAAAAAAAAATGAAATGAAAAAATAAAAAACCAGGAGAGGGTGGCTGGAGGTGTGGCTCAGCTGGTGGAATGGAGGCATGGGTTCAGAGCCTAGTACTAGCAAAATGAAAGGGGGAGGTGAGGGAAGGGAAGGAGAAAGAAGGGGAAAGGGAAGAGGAGGGGAGGGAGGAAGGAAGGGAGGGAGGAAGGAAGGGAGGGAGGGAGGGAGGGAGGGAGGAAGGAAATGGAAGTGGAGGGAGGGAGGGAGGAAGGAAGGAAGGGAGGGAGGGAGGGAGGGAGGGAGGGAGGAAGGAAATGGAAGGGGAGGGAGGGAGGGTACGGAACAGTAGCTACCCTTCTCATGTCACTATTGGTATCAGTTTCCCTGAGTGTTGAGAATCATTTCCACCTAGGAGCAGGCCCGAATTCCACTCCTATTTATTCACAATGTGACTTTGGAAAATCTGTTTCTCAGAAGACTTCCGATTTGAATTCATAGTCACAGGCCTTTAAAGCACCTTGGAGAGCTGTTGGATAGAGTGTCATCGCAGCAACGCTGTTTTTGCCGCATAATCCATGAGGCTCAGAGCACCTTCCATCTTCTAATTAAATGCTTCTGTAGCCACTCATGGGTGCCTGTCACCCGCCACCTTTCCTTTTAGATCTAAAAGGTTAGGGGCATCTGGTGTATGCCTATTCTCCACCAAAATAAACAGGTTGTCATTAATAGCAACTTCTTTTGGTATTTTATTATCCATAACAGTTGATGCTCACTATTAAGACACATGAATCTTAACACAATGCAGAGCATTATGCAATATATTCATACTTGGAAATCACCATGTCAGTAGTCAGCCTTTTCAAAAAGCTTTGCACAGAGAAATTATGAAGAGCAATGACTGGACTATCTGTACAGTCAACTTAGTTCTACTCCCAAGACCAGGATCCAACAGAGTAGTCAACTGTGGCCTGCTCTCCGCTCTCCGCTTCCCCTCACGGCCCGCCTGCCTGCTCACACCCCCATCGCCAGGCTTGTGTCCCGTTGTTGCTCTCTTACTTGCAAAACCTTCGTTGTTCTGGATTCTAGCTGTGTTTCTGTAGATCACAGATACCCGGCTTTATATTGTGGAAAAATACCACTGTGCCTTATTTAGGTCAACATCGCAAGTTTAACCTGACAGTTTCTAGGTATGGACATGAAGAAGTAGCAGTTCAGTGAAATTATACAGAAAAGCCCCCGCCCTATAGAGCAAGCACTTGATGATTACCCCACAGCTTTTCAACTTCATATATATACATATATAATATACACACTCATATATACACACATGCATACACATACACGCATACATGCTATGAATTCTCTGCCATTATCTCAAACCTAGTGCAGCTTAACTTTTTGTGTGTTCCTATCGCATGTTTTTGGTACTAGAGACTGAAGACAGGGCTTCTCATGAGGTAGTAAAGCACTCTACCACTTGATCCATGGCCCTGGCCTTTTTGTCTTACATTTTGTTGGAAGATGTTCTCCCTAACTCTGCCTGGGCTGGCCTTGAACTTCTGAACCCTCTGCCCCTACCTCCTTGAGTAGCTTTAGTTACAGTCCTGCACCACCTGACCTTCACAGCCTTATACATTCTTTAAAAACATGACCATGCCTTCTTCATGCTCTGAGTAAACCCAATGAAAAGGATAGCAGCAAGATGACAGTGCAGGGCTGGGAAGGTGGCTCAGTGGTAGAGCGCTTGCCTTGCATGCTCAAGGCCCTGGGTTCGATTCCTCAGCACCACATAAGCAAAAAGAAAAAAGCCTTGAACTGAAGAGCTGAGGGACAGCGCCCAGGCCCAGAGTTCAGGCCCCACGACCGGACCCCCCCAAAAAAAAAAAGATGACAGTACAAGAATCATCTTGGATTGGCCTGTTCAGACCATTTCCTAGATTGGGAATGTTGAATCTCAAAGAGCCTGTAGTAGCAGAGTCCTGATGCAGAGTCAAGCAAGGAGATAGCAGTAGTGCCTGTCTTTCCAACGGCCACTCCTGCGATACTGTGACAGCCCCTTACCTTGTGAACCCCGATAAAGGCTCACTGCGTGGGCTGTCTTCTCTGATTCTTCTCCCCTGTAGATGGACCCTCATGAGAACATCCTACTGAGCACCCTTGAGATCAAAAACGAGATGGCCACCTCCGACGCGGTGATGGGCCTGGGGGACCCCCGGAGCACCATGCTGGCCTACGACGCCTCCAGCATCCAGTACCGGAAAGCCGGCCTGCCCAGACACAGTTTTGGCCGGAACGCGTTGGAGCGACACGTGGCGCAGAAGAAGAGCCGGCTGCGGCGACGGGCCTCCCAGCTGAAGATCACCATCCCCGACTTGACTGATGTGAACGCCATCGACCGGTGGTCCCGCATCTTCTTCCCCGTGGTTTTTTCCTTCTTCAACATCGTCTACTGGCTTTATTACGTGAACTAAAACATGGCCTTCCCCCGCCACCACCCCCCTGGGAAGCAAAGACTAGATCCCTCCTCACCACAGTTGTACAGACTGACATAGGACTTGGAAAACACACCAATCCAGGACAACAATGATGCAAAAATACCTTAGTTGCTGGCCTCTCCCGTGGTCCATTCCATAACCATCCGGGTTGCTTCCGCTAAGTGACGGACAGGTCCCTGAGGTTTTCCACTTGCAAACACAAGGGATCGGTGCCTCCGCTGGCCAGAGTGAGCCAGAAGGTTCCGGTGCATCTGCACAGCGCGCCGCCTGCCCAGAGAGGGAAGGCGGAAGAAGCAATTTTAAGCCTTCAAGGCTCTAGAATATTGTCAGTCCTTTTCCTGGGATCAGGGCGTTCTAAGCACCCCCCACCTTCCTCCCTGAGGTTGGCATGCTTCGAGGTGGCAGCCATCTACCATACCATGCGAGCGTGTCTCCTCAGAACGTTCCAGGCCGGTCCTAAGATGATCATGGTGTCAGGAAGCCCTGGCCAGGGGAGTCTTGTGCACGTTGGCCCGGTATCCAGAGCAGGGGGTGTGGAGCACACGCTCGGCAAGCCGGTGAGCCAGGCTCCTGGCTTGTGTGGGTGAGGGAAATCAGCGGGGACGTCTCTCCTTCAAGGATAGGAAGAGCTCTGAACATTCTCTTTTGTTTTTATTTGCTAAAAAGCTATTTCTTAGGAGGTGAAGGTAAGGAGCAACAACACAAAGCAGGGTCAGAAATCCAGAAATGACCGCCGCCAGAAAAATCCAAGCAAGCAACCGAGCAGAACGTGGTGATCAGGTCCACCACGCCTGGTCCATGCGTGGCAAAGCGTGGCAGGGAAAGGGATTTACTTTCTGACCTCACTAGCTTTGACCACACACAGCCTAAGGAGATTTCTCTAGCTTATCTGATCAAAAGGCAGCCAGGAGCTAGAAAAGGAAAGGGAATTAGAAGTACCTTAGATGTACGGATTAGATCAGGAGTCATTCAGATGTACAAATATACAGCACAAGTGAACAAGCCAATTGTTTTTCCTTACACAGCCTTTCTCTGCAGCATCTCCTTATGTGTTGATTTGGGGATTTAATAGAGTATTTCAAAAGGAGGATTTGCTCCTTCCTCTCAAGGATTAATAGCTCTCTGCAGCTTTTCTTGCTTCTGAAATTCTGATTATATTCTTAGGAGTGAGACCCAGGCTTTGGAGAAGCAGCTGTATTTTCTTGTGTGCAGCGATGTTCACCTTTGTATTATACTTCCAAGACCAGGTGCCCAGCAAGAGCTAGTTTGTGGGTTCATTGGGTTTGGAATTTTTTAAGGGTGCTCCCGTTGTGTTGGTTGCAACCTGCCTTCAAGGAAAATAGGGACACGTGCACAATGGGGTGACAGCAAAGCTACCCTAACACAACGCGTAGTTGGTACTATGCGTTCCCAGTTAATTTGCATGAGGCACGAGGTGTTGTTTTTATTCTGCTTTCCAATGATGTCCCTACGCTGCTTCCTATACAGTTAGGACATATGAATTCATCTTTACTGGACAGGAAGAAGAAAAGCTTCGTATATTTTATTTCTCTCAGTGTGAGGCTCATATTTTCACTTAAAAGAAGAAGAAAATAGTGAACTGCTAAGTTTTCATAAAGTTTGATTGGTCCGACCTTTTCCTCAGAGGATGACTTTGCTATTTCTCCTTTTAAAAAAAAAATGTTTCTTTTCTGATAAGGTCCCTGATAGTTCTGAGGAGCCAAGGCCTGTATCTTCTTGTAGATATAAGTTCGGTTTTCTTCTCATGATTCAGAAGCTTGGAAGGTCTGGAGCTCTCCAGCTTCTAGTCCAACCAGCAGAGAATGAGCACATTAAAAAACCAAGAAAGGAAAGTTGATCACTTCGCTGTGTGATTTGGCTCCCGAGGTTGGATGGCGGTTCTGTGTTTGGGAGTCTGGCTCCGACCTCGTGATTGCGTGTTTGAATGAATACCTCGGAGTACAACCACTGGTGAAATCTGACCACCTTTCTTCCCCTGTGCTCAGAGTAGAGATTTCCCAGGTCTCCCAAGAGACGTTCCTCCTCCTCCCCCGACGGGCACTGAGGGTGTCACACTAATAAAAGTGCCTGCCCCTTGTTGCCAGGGAGTGAAGTTTAAGTAGAAAATACCAGGAAACTCAGGGCATAACTCTCAAAGGCCGTTCCAACAATAATAATAATAAAAAAAAAAACCTTTCTACAGACCACTCAGAGCCCAGATCTCTCTAGAAGCAGGCTCTTATTTACAATTCCTATAAAAGCCATAAGAAAAATCCTTGCTATTGTCAGTTATGGTTACAACACAACTTTGGATGTCCAAGGCAGTCCACAGTGGCGTAGAGCAGAGCGGATGACGGCTTTGCCACCCCGGCCTCCCATACGCACAGAGGAGGGGAACTCACTTCTGTCCTCAGACATGCCACGAATCTCAGCAGAGTGAAAACCATGCATTAGCAGGTTTAAAAACAACAACTGACTCATCCTGTCCAGAAACAACCGTCGACATAGAATTTTCTTGAGCTGCGCGTCTCGTTGGGTGGGGACGCAGTCATCAGAGGCAGGGGTGGGAGCTAGGCCTGACCAGTAGGTAGAGAAGTTAGCCTGACCTCTAGGCGTTCAACTAAAGAACCACGAAGGTATGTGTGGGCCCGTCTGACATGGTGTCCATCCTCACATACGTATAGTTTTCCTTTGGATTTCAAAGCAGCCAGACAGCCAGCAATTAAGGTGTTTTCTTCATCTTTGTGAAATTCATAGGCAAATCCTGACTCTAAACTATACAGTCTAAATGAAATCTCGGATCTCAATCTGTCTGTATATATTGTACATGACTGCTAGTAGGTATGAACTGCACTTCAGAACTGAAAACTCATGCAACATAATCATGTGTTCGCATAGGAATGTTAACAATCCTTTCTCTTGCAATTTAATAACAGGAAAAGACTCGAGCAGAACCATGTAGACCTTTTCTCTTCCATTCCTCAAAGCAGTGCTAAGTAAAATAATAATGATGATGATGATCATTTATAAACCAAAAGATTTTACATGCTAGCATTAGGAACACATACACACAGGCAAAAGATCTATCAGCTTCCAAAAGCACAACACATAAAGGAAGTGCTCTAGAATGCAGAATGGAGAAATGAATCATGTTTATTTTAAGCAAGACCTGCATTAAATAGGCAACTACGATGATTTCCATTTTTCTATAAGTAACTGTGCTCCAGTTCAATGACTCACTTCACACTCAAACACAGAAACTGCAAAACATCAACAAACAGGTCTTAACGATGTATTTACATGTGTACATGTGTATATATAGATTCATATAGACATATGTTTGCATTCATATGTTGGGGGGGAAGGAATAAGCTAATATGTTTGATTTCCTTCATTAAACCAATGTATGAGTATTTTTAATTTGGCAACCCACAGTCAAACACTGATGTAATGCAGGGTCCTGAGTATTTCTCTATCAGTAACTCAATGCCTATAGTTCTGACAAACCATTGCACATTTCCACACTGCAATAGTACTGTACTGAAATATCAGGCTTAAACTAGCTGTCACCTTGCTTGTCTACTTGCTCTGTCTTTCAAGGACACCAAGACCATTACCGGTGATTTAAAAATAAAACTTTTAAAATGTAAGATTAAATTCCTCCTAAGAGGAGGAAATTAAATAATAATAATAACAGAAAAATCACCTAACCTCCGCCAGATTGGTTAGGGAAATGAACACCTGTAGCAACCATTCCATTTTGCTAATTGTACAGCCCACATGGTGTGACAAACCATAATTTTCACTGAACGCCTGTAAATATCAAAACAGATTTCTTAAATATTTTTAACTTCTAATTTGTATTCTGTGGTAAGGCAACGTGCTCATTCTGTTTATGGCTTAAGTTGATGTGTGTTATATTGTGTAAATAACTGGACTTGCTGTAAATGGGTAGTCCATAGATTCAGATAACCATGTAGGGTCTATTGATTTTTCTCCCCTCCAATTTTTATTCATTTGTACTAAGTACAGTTACTGAGGTGCCCCCAGCGGCCTAAACACCCTTTTGCATAAATGGCTTGGGAATCCCAGATAGCGGTTTTCATTTGCTATCAACGCACACGCATGCGTGCACACACGCAGGCACACACGTGCACACACACATGCACTCCATCCCTTCCCCTTCCCACTCAATCCCACGATCGTCCCCTCTACAGAAAGCCTGGTAGTGATTTTTTGTAATCACTGTACCAACCAAGATAGAGCCTTAGATACGGCCAATGGAATATAAGAAAATGAGTACTGAGACCTTAATAGAGTTGTTTTTGTTTTTGTTTTTTAAAATGCCAGAGTACAAGAAACCAAAGTTTGCAACCTAAGTCTCACATTTCACAAAGTAGAAGTTTGTATTGATGGCATTTCAGAAAACAGAAATACTTAACTCTTAGCAGCTCCAAAACTTTATTACACGCACGCATGCTAGAAAACTTGTGTAGCTGCATTTTGTCCTTAGAAAGCACTGTTCCTTTCAACCAAAGACTCCAGAATCATTTTTAAAAAGGAAAGAAAAATGGGGGAAATGGAAAAAAAAAAAGACCCTGCTTCACACCAAAGGTTTAAAAAAAAAAACACATTTTCCAAATGCACTAAGAAAAGATTGTAAAATAGAAATAGTAGAGAGGCAACAGAAAGAATATTAAGATTCTGTCCTAAAGAAATCATTGTGCTTTTGTTTGTTTTATTTGTTTGTTTTTTAAGGGGAGGGGGATTAACAACACTCTTAAATAGCTATTCGATTTCTTTTGGAAATCACAGGTAGAACATTTCTGTAGATATGGCAAAATTCAGAATTTTAATTTTCTTTGAGAAATAAATGCTTTTGTGATAAATATTCAAAATGATGAAAAAGAAAACTTGATGTTCTTTGAGTTCCAAAGCTACAGTCTCTCTCCCGGCACAAGTCCTGCTGTCAAACATCTGTATCTGTGTCCGTGTACCAGTTGAAGTCAAATTTTCTTCTCTTGTACCTTTTTTTTTTTTTTAATTCATAGTTTAGTTCAATCATTAGAGTTCAACCATGGCTATTTTAATCATCACTAATTTCTGGAATTTTGAATTCCGGACAGGTTAAAACTTTTCTTTGCCTAGGTTCTGTTATAAATATTGTCCCTACAAAGTTCTGAACTGACGTTTTTATAAGACATGATGTCATCATCTCCCTTGAGGTAGTTGATTCATCA